TGACAATACCATTGTGATGAACATCTCTATTTAGTAGGGATTTGAAAGGCATTTAGAAGTGATACCGGAATTAAAATGTGTGGCGTCATGTGTGCCGAGACCACGGGGTGCATGTCGTACGTCTATGACAGTGTTGGGTCTTTGAAAGGCATTTAGGATTGATATGGATGTCAACTTTATTATGAGGAACACGTTTCGGAGTATTTGCTTACTCCTTCATTCACCTGATTAAGGAGTAAGCATATACTCCGAAACGTTGTGTTCCTCATAATAAAGAAGTTGACATCCATATATTCTCTTCCTTATGTGTATCACTCCTAAATGCCTTTCAAAGACCCTCCGTGGTCTAGTGGGAGAGCGTCTGCCCAGAGAGAGGAAGGTCCAGGGTTCTATCCCCGGCCGCGTCATACCAAAAGACGTTTGAGGATGGTACTTGTTGTTACCCTGTCTGGCGCTCGGCATCTAGGGGCTAAAACAAGGACTGGTCGGCTCAGAGTCGGTAAACTGTGTCTGAGTGGGGTATTCATGTTAAACTGTGGCATGGTATCTCAATAAGCTAGCACTATAAATCGGCATCAGTCCGGACTAGTACAAGCAGCCACACACAAACACACACTTGCATGCATGTCGCTATATAAGTGCAATAATCTTGGACGCGACGTTAAACCCAATTTCACCTCACCTCTTCTTTGTGATGGCTGTTGGGTACTAGTTCTGTAGCTCTTGCCAAACTGCCCAATAGTTAAGGTATCACAGGGATAATTCTAGAGGGTAAGTGTAATAAGCGCCCACGGCGATATTTGCTAATATATTGGCAAGTGAACAATCCCAATTAGCACCCCTTCCGATTGATCAATGTACACATAACCTATTTATTCGTGTATAATACGCACTCGTGTGTAATATGCACCCTCAATTATGGGCAATTAAATTCTGGAAAAATGTATCTGTGGTAAATAAACATTTCAGGGTGTCAGCATAAACCATGAAATTTATCTTTCAACTCTGTTTTTTTTTTTCACCAAAATAATATTCTAATAAGAGCAGCCTATTTCTAATTTGGAGAGCGCCCTGGGCGCTTATTACCTCGAATACAGCATAGAGAAATGGATGGTACTGAAAACTAAATAAACTTTGTTATAAGTACCCTTTCTTTGTGTTATTGAAAATTCCCCTGGCGTACATTAATGAACAGATTACAAGGACGATGTGGATGACCTGCGGTAGGGGAGATAGCGACAGGTGAAGAGCAGTAGACAGGGAGATAGCATCAGCATCGGTTATCACTGATATCGGTGATGCCAAGGCTCTAGGATGTGTTACACTGATAATGAAGGTGTTTTATCAGGAGTCTTCTGAAGTTCAGTGGAAGGAATTATGAACTGTGTGTTCAATGTTCTTGTTGGTCGAGGGGCGGTCGGGTAGCCCAGCGGTTAAAGCGTTCGCTCGTCACGCCGAGGACCCGGTTCAATTCCCGACATGGGTACAATGTGTGAAGCCCATTTCTGGTGTCCCCCGCCGTGATATTGCTTGAATATTGCTAAAAGTGGCATTAAACCATACTCACTCACTCACTCACTCACTCACTCACTCACTCACTCACTCACTCGATGATCGATGCTCATGATGTCAATCACTGGGTTGTCTGGTCCAGACTCGATTATTTACAGACTGCCGTCATATAGCTGGAATATTGCTGAGTGCGGCGTTAAACAACAGAACAGAGTACAATATGAAGTATAGCCCATTGTAGCCCCTCCAAGAATATCCAATAATCCACCCCTTACAATTGATTATGGCAAAAGGTAGTATGAAATGACTTATTCCCTACAGTATATTTCCACAAAAATACTATGTTATTCTGAGTGAAGTTGCTTCAAATTAAATAGATGAAGTTAAGGATGGAGTAAACTGTCTAAGGCGCCGCGATTCGCTGTGCAGAGTTGCGTCCCCTGGACACGCCAGAAACCTATGGTTGTGGGTTCGAATCCCATTTCGCCCCGATTATGTTTCTAGGTTTGTCAGCACCATACCCGTGCTCGTGGGTTTCACCGAAGTGGTAAATGTCTAAGACCTGCATCACTTGGGGCTTTCCTCCCACATTAAGCTGACACGCCGTGATATAACTGGAATAATGTTAAAAGCGGCGTTAAACCCAACTCACTCACTCACTCACTGCCATTTTGTAATTCAAGAGTAACAAGTCCGAACTGACTCTCATCAGAAGTAAGTTCCTCAAGATTGTCAGTTGGAATGCTTGTAATATGTCCGACTTGTACAATATATCAAGCTTGTACACTGTCCTGCCTGTACAATAGTCAGGTGCCGTGGTATAAAACCTGATATTGTTTGGAAGCCGCCCAGATCCTGCCTAGACCCCGGTCAACATGCAACCTGGAGCCGCTTCTGGCAGATGGCTCCTCCAGCCAGGCATTGTATAACAAATAACCTCTCGCATCTCCCAGATGGGCACCATTACTCATCTGCCTCGGGGACAAGGGCGGGGGATAACAACAATTATCCAATAGTAGTAAATCATTGAAAACACACACTGATTTCTCCACGAAGGAATTGATTTGCAAATTGGCCAAGCTGCAAATGTCAAATTGGGTTAAACTTTTGAATGTGTTTTACTATTTCACTTTGTAATTTATTTTAATTTTCTTAATTGAGCCGACACCTTGAGAATATTCATGCCACCCCCTAGCCTAGCCTTGCTCAAAGGCTGTACTGAAAGATAAATCCTTGGATGTGTAATAATTCTATCCTCCTAATAGGCAAGTCTAGATATGTGGAAGGTCTCCAGTCTCTTGTAGGGACTTGTTCTCACTATTTGTGTAATCTGGAAATCATAAATTAAACTAGCAATTATTGCCTTAGAGACTTGTGCAAGTCTAGCCACCCCCCACCCCGGGGAATGACAGTATTATTCTTGTATCTGGTGTAAGAGCGTTGCTGGCTGAATAGCCTGCCATGAAAAGTCCGCCCAAACACATCCATTAATGCTGCTATTCGAGGCGGCCTCTCTCAGCAGCTGGGGAGATCACGAACAACCATTAGGTAATTAGTTGGAGAGTCTTGTGACAGGGTAGCGAGGCTTGTAGTCTACACTGTCCGTCTTTTTAATGAATATTGGGCTGGATAATCAAGTTAAGTATGTGGTGTCAACAGAAGGATTGAACATCAAAGATTCCAGGCCAATATGTTAGTATAATTGTCAATCACTGGCTTGTCTGGTCCATATTCTTCATGCAACTTTAGTGTCTGAGGCTGAGGATAGTGAAATGTATTAGAGTTTTGACATTATCAAAGTGTTTAAAGGATGAGGATAGTGAAATTTTTTAAGAGTTTTGACATTATCAAAGATTTTTAAGGCTGGGGAAAGTGAAATTTTTTAAGAGTTTTGACATTATCAAAGTATTTTAACTGAGAGATTGTTGTTGATGGAATATCCCTGGGATTTATTTAGACCTGTGCAGAAGCAGATATTCATGTCAAATCTGCTGCACGTCAGTAAAAATGCTAACTTGCAATAAAGATTTGTGCTTCTGTTGATCATGTTGTTAGTGTTATGACAAATAGTATGGCATTATGGAGGCGACTTTCACTGATAAAAGGACCAATGTTAACGAAGAAGCAATTCTGGCAATGGATGCAATGTTTTAACACCTCCCAGGGATCAAATTTACTATATCCAAGCTGCACCCGTGCAGGCAGCGCATTGATGGTGCAGGTGACTTTCATTGCCAGGCTGCACCCAGTGCATGATATATTTTCCAACATCAGTGCACGACAGTAGTATTTAATGAAAGTGGAAATCTTTTAGAATCCGGGGCGGCCGGGTAGCCTAGTGGTTAAAGCGTTCGCTCGTCACGCCGAAGACCCTGGTTCAATTCCCGACATGGGTACAATGTGTGAAGCCCATTTCTGGTGTCCCCCGCCTTGATATTGCTGGAATATTGCTAAAAGCGGCGTAAAACCAAACTCACTCACTCATTTTTGGAATCCAGGAAACAGGAAAATACACAGGTCTAAATGCAGTCAACTTGCAGAACCAATTTTTCCCAATTATCGCTTGAACGTAGACATAGATTTATAGGCCCATAATATATTTAAATAGGTCGGTTGTTTCTCCTGTCACTCAAAAGGTTACGATCTCAAGAAATAGACACTTTGAAACTTCTGTTTAAGGTTGTTTACTGGATATCATTGGAGTACATTTTCAAGTTTATTTTCTTTTTGAATAACTGAAAATACAGCGTTTAAATATATGGGAAAATGCTGCAGCCAATATTTTGGTGATGCAGCCTGATTGATTCGCTTGGTTGCACCTGGTGCAGGTGGTAAAACAGAATGAAATCATACCCTGCATCTGAGTTGATGAAGATACAGACTTTGATTAATTTCCATATTTGCACAGAATAGTATTATTACAAGGCCATGTTATAAATGTCATATAGCTGTCCATGCAGATTACAGGGCCATGTTATGAATGTCATACAGCTGGCCATGCATATTACAGGGCCATGTTATAAATGTCATACATCTGGCCATGCATATTACAGGGCCATGTTATAAATGTCATACAGCTGGCCATGCAGGTTACAGGGCCATGTTATAAATGTCATATAGCTGACCATGCAGATTACAGGGCCACGTTATAAATGTCATACAGCTGGCCATGCATATTACAGGGCCATGTTATCAATGTCATACATCTGGCCATGCATATTACAGGGCCATGTTATAAATGTCATACAGCTGACCATGCAGATTACAGGGCCACGTTATAAATGTCATACAGCTGACCATGCAGATTACAGGGCCACGTTCTAAATGTCATACAGCTGGCCATACAGATTACAGGGCCTTGTTATAAATGTCATATAGCTGATCATGCAGATTACAGGGCCACGTTATAAATGTCATACAACTGGCCATGTATATTACAGGGCCTTGTTATAAATGTTATTCATGTTTGTGTTCTTTTGTTTTTGCAGATGCCCAGGAAATAAAGATTTCCCCAGCTGAGAAGAGTATAAGACGAGAAACAAACCAAAAAGGATTATTTATAACTTGTGAAGTGGATGGGTTGGCAGATGATCAAAATGCAAACTTGGAGTGGCTGGACCCAGCTGACAACGTCATTGGACCTTACAATAGTGCAGCAATGTCAAGGTAGGTTAACCGTTCACAGCCTTCACCTCTCACAGTCACCTCTCACAGCATTCACCTCACAGCATTCACCTCTCACAGCATTCACCTCTCACAGCATTCACCTCTCACAGCATTCACCTCTCACAGTCACCTCCCAAAGTCACCTCCCAAAGTCACCTCTCACAGTCACCTCTCACAGTCACCTCTCACAGTCACCTCTCACAGTCACCTTCCACAGTCACCTCCCACAGTCACCTCTCACAGTCACCTCCCACAGTCACCTCCCACAGTCACCTCTCACAGTCACCTCCCACAGTCACCTCTCACAGTCACCTCCCACAGTCACCTCTCACAGTCACCTCTCACAGTCACCTCTCTCAGTCACCTCCCACAGTCACCTCTCACAGTCACCTCTCTCAGTCACCTCCCACAGTCACCTCTCACAGTCACCTCTCACAGTCACTTCTCAGTCACCTCTCACAGTCACCTCTCACAGTCACCTCTCACAGTCACCTCTCCCCTTCACTCTTTCTCTTTCGCATTCACCGTTTCTTTGACTTTCTCAGCTGTCTCTAGTTATCAGATTGATATCCCCAGTTAGCTTGTGTGATGTCTCCAATTAGCTTGTGTGATGTCCCCAGTTAGCCTGTGTGAAATGTCCAGTTAGTCTGTGTGAAATGTCCAGTTAGCCTGTGTGAAATGTCCAGTTAGCCTGTGTGATACATCTGATATCCCCTCCAGAAGATTTGCTAAACTCAAATGTGTTGCCTCCCCTTGTTGTTGCAGGATCTACTCCATGCAGATGCGCACCAGTAACGAACTGCAGTTTGACACACTGAAGAATGGAGATGAGGGGGTGTATACATGTCGAGGCACAATCGGCGGCAACACCATAACTAATGATATACGGCTGGAACTCTACGGTAAATAGTTGACGTGTACATGTAAAAACATAAGAATCTGACAAAATCGTCCAATCACAGCTGCCATATGAGTCAATCTGCACTGAAGGCTCTCCACGAAAAATGCTTGTTGAAGGACTGATTCTCATTTGGTGTTGTAGCTCTAAGATGCAATTCACTGTGCAGAGTTGCGTCCCTTTGGCATGCCTGGAACCTAGGATTGTGGGTTCGAATCCCGATATGCACTGCTTACATTTCTAGGTTTCTCATGTTCCCGTGCTCTTGGAGGTGAGGTGAGGTGAAATTGGGTTTAACGTCGCGTCCAAGATTATGGCACTTATATAGCGACGTGCATGCAAGTGTGTGTGTGTGGCTGCTTGTACTAGTCCGGACTGATGCCGATTTATAGTGCTAGCTCACTGAGATACCATGCCCTAGTTTAACATGAATACCCCACTCAAACACAGTATACTGACTCCGAGCCGACCAATCCTTGTTTTATCCCCTTAATGCCAAGCATCAGACAGGGTAACAACAAGTCCCATCTTTTAACGTCTTTTAACGTGGCCGGGGATCGAACCCTGGACGCTCTACCACTAGACCACAGAGGCGGTCGCCATGCTCTTGGATTTCACAAAAGTGCTAAACAATGAGTACCTGTGTTCCTTGAGGTTCCCCATGTCCAGCTGACTTGCCATGATGTGCCTGAAATACTGGTAAAAGTAGTGTTAACCCCAGCACACTCACTTGCTTACTTAATCCGTGAAGATCCGGGATAGAATACGTCTTCAGCAACCCATTCTTGCCGTAAAAGGCGGCTATGCTTGTAGTAAGAGGCGACTAACAGGATTGGGTGGTCAGGCCCATTGACTTGGTTGATTCATGTCATTGTATTCAAATTGCGTGGATCGATGCTCATGATGTCAATCACTGGATTGTCTGGTCCAGACTCGATTATTTACAGACCGCCGTCATAAAGCTGGATTATTGCTGCGTGCGGCGTTAAACAACAAACAAACAATCACTCACTCACGTACTTGCTCCATATCTGTCATAATGATTGTATCAATTTGCTGCTGCTTACAGACGGAATCAAGGTGTTGTCCAACCACACCCAGCAACCTAACATCTACACCGACGCTGTGATTGCCTGTGCCGCCACGGCCAACCCCTTACCCACTGTGCAGTGGAGGTTTGCCAACAGAACTGAGGTCAAAGGTCAGTACATGTGATCATAAGGCTTCACTGTCTGTGTAATTCTATCCGAGGAAGATATGCCTTTCTTAGATTTAGTGATTGGTTGCACAATGTAGATTTTAGTAATGCATCTGTGGATCACGATTTTTTACTTCTCAATGCAAGTATCGATCACAGTCGCACACTAAGTAAAAAGTATTGATTCTTATCTTAAATTTTTTCTTGAAAGAGTGTTACACCAAACACTAATTACTAGTGAAAATGAGTTGTGAAAACGTAAATATTTTCATCCATTGCGCCATACCTGACACTGCCAACTATCAATCAATAGTGTGCCAGCTATTTGGCAATCCTGTCTGTGAAAAAGATGGCTTACGCACCACAGATAAGTGCACATGCAAGTATCGCGATACGTATCAGATTGTGAGCAAGGTATCGTAATACGTATCGGATCGCACAGTTGGTGTATCGTCCCAGGCCTAATAGATTTGTTGATTGACTGTACAATATAGACTTGGTGATAGACTGTACGAGGTACATTGGCTGTACAGTGTGTATGAGGTACATTGGCTGTACAGTGTGTATTTGGTGATTGGCTGTACGAGGTACATTGGTTATACATTGTATACTTGGTTATTGACTGTACAAGGTATATTGGCTGTACATTGTATACTTGGTGATTGGCTGCAGGTGAGCGCTACCGTCCACTGCCACAGGGGTTGGAGATCAAGAACATCACCAAGGCTGACAATGGAGTGTACATCTGCATGATCACTGTCAAGGAGATGTCGGACTCACTGCCATTCCAGATCAATGTCACTGTCACAGGTAGGGGACAGATCACACACACAATTGCGTAAAGCGTCACACAATAGTAAGCAAAGCAACACACAATTGCGTAAAGCATCACACAATGATATGCACAGCAACACACAATTGTCTAAAGCGTCACACAATAATATGTAAAGCAACACAATTGTGTAAAGCGTCACAGTAATCTGCAAAGCAACACACAATAGCGTAAAGCGTCACATAATAATATGCAAAGCAACACAAAATTGTGTAAAGCGTCACACAATAATATGCAAAGCAACACACACAATTGCGTAAAGCGTCACAATAATATGCAAAGCAACACACACAATTGTGTAAAGCGTCACACAATAATATGCAAAGCAACACACACAATTGTGCAAAGTGTCACACAATAATATGCAAAGCAACACACAATTGTGTAAAGCGTCACAATAATATGCAAAGCAACACACACAATTGTGTAAAGCGTCACACAATAATATGCAAAGCAACACACACAATTGTGCAAAGTGTCACACAATAATATGCAAAGCAACACACAATTGTGTAAAGCGTCACACAATGATATGCAAAGCAACACACAATTGTGTAAAGCGTCACAATAATATGCAAAGCAACACACAAAAATGTGCAAAGTGTCACACAATAATATGCAAAGCAACACACACAATTGTGTAAAGCGTCACACAATGATATGCAAAGCAACACACAATTGTGTAAAGCGTCACACAATAATATGCAAAGCAACACACACAATTGTGTAAAGCGTCACACAATGATATGCAAAGCAACACACAATTGTGTAAAGCGTCACACAATAATATGCAAAGCAACACACAATTGTGCAAAGCGTCACACAATAATATGCAAAGCAACACACACAATTGTGTAAAGCGTCACACAATGATATGCAAAGCAACACACAATTGTGTAAAGCGTCACACAATAATATGCAAAGCAACACACAATTGTGCAAAGTGTCACACAATAATATGCAAAGCAACACACACAATTGTGTAAAGCGTCACACAATGATATGCAAAGCAACACACAATTGTGCAAAGTGTCACACAATAATATGCAAAGCAACACACACAATTGTGTAAAGCGTCACACAATGATATGCAAAGCAACACACAATTGTGTAAAGCGTCACACAATAATATGCAAAGCAACACACAATTGTGCAAAGTGTCACACAATGATATGCAAAGCAACACACACAATTGCGTAAAGCGTCACACAATAATATGTAAAGCAACACACAAAAATGTGGAAGGCCACACAAGCGTCTTATCTTGGCAGTATTGTGTGCAGTAAGCTTCCAAGAAAGGATAACACAAATATTCAACAAGAATACACTTTTGGTAAGATGTGAAAAGATAATATATAAAATCTACTTCATAAAAAAAGTGCGTCAAGGCTTGATGAGGAGTGGGATCAATGGGAGATAACTCTGATCTGACCTGGTGGAGGTGACCCCATATTGAATGGGTTCGGCTATGGGATGGAGAGGAGGGGGAATTAGCAAGATGTTGTCTCGGGATAAGTATGTTAATATAATGAATATTCTGATTTATGACAATTCTGGGATTTTGATAAAATGCTGGGCATGCTGAAATTTGTTCAGCTCTTTTCATAGTCAATCCCTCGTAGTTCAAAGTGGTGTTGAACCCAACTCACTCTCAACAGATTCCCATTGGCCTTTTCTTAGCCTGAATTCTACATTTCAGTTCCACCTTCCCTGAAGGGACCCCCAACTAGGAGTACACCCATTGTCGGCAAGCGGTTCGAGATGACGTGCGTGGCAGATGGCACTCCACGACCATCATTCACCTTCAAGAAGGTGAGACCCTGTTCCTTCAGGTTGCCAGTACATGTTTATCTATCTGGGGGGACTCCGGAGAGATAGGTTGCCAGTACCCTGTGTTTATCTATCTGGGGGACTCCGGAGAGATAGGTCGCCAGTACCCCATGTTTATCTATCTGGGGGGACTCCGGAGAGATAGGTCGCCAGTACCCCGTGTTTATCTATCTGGGGGACTCCGGAGAGATAGGTCACCAGTACCTCATGTTTATCTATCTGGGGGGCTCCGGAAGTATAGGTTGCCAGTACCCTGTGTTTATCTATCTGGGGGGCTCCGGAGGGATAGGTTGCCAGTACCCTGTGTTTATCTATCTGGGGGACTCCGGAGAGATAGGTCGCCAGTACCCCATGTTTATCTATCTGGGGGGACTCCGGAAAGATAGGTCGCCAGTACCCTGTGTTTATCTATCTGGGGGTTCCGGAGGGATAGGTCACCAGTACCTCATGTTTATCTATCTGGGGGGCTCCGGAGGGATAGGTTGCCAGTACCCTGTGTTTATCTATCTGGGGGGACTCCAGAGAGATAGGTCACCAGTACCTCGTGTTTATCTATCTGAGGGACTCCGGAGGGATAGGTCGCCAGTACCTCGTGTTTATCTATCTGGGGGGACTCCGGAGAGATAGGTCACCAGTACCTCGTGTTTATCTATCTGGGGGACTCCGGAGAGATAGGTCACCAGTACCTCGTGTTTATCTATCTGAGGGACTCCGGAGGGATAGGTCACCAGTACCTCGTGTTTATCTATCTGAGGTAATCCGGAGGGATAGGTCACCAGTACCTCGTGTTTATCTATCTGGGGGACTCCGGAGAGATAGGTCGCCAGTACCTCGTGTTTATCTATCTGGGGGACTCCGGAGGGATAGGTCACCAGTACCTCGTGTTTATCTATCTGAAGGACTCCGGAGGGATAGGTCACCAGTACCTCGTGTTTATCTATCTGGGGGACTCCGGAGGGATAGGTTACCAATACCTCGTGTTTATTTATCTGGGGGACTCCGGAGAGATAGGTCGCCAGTTCTTCGTGTTTATCTATCTGGGGGGACTCCAGAGAGATAGGTCACCAGTACCTCGTGTTTATCTATCTGGGGGACTCCGGAGAGATAGGTCGCCAGTACGTGTTTTTCTATCTGTGGGACTCCTGGGGGATAGGTCACCAGTACCTCGTATTTATCTATCTGGGGGGACTCCGGAGAGATAGGACGCAAGTACCTCGTGTTTATCTATCTGGGGGACTCCGGAGAGATAGGTCGCCAGTACCTCATGTTTATCACTGTGGGGGACTCTGGAGAGATAGGCCGCCATCACCTCGTGTTTATGTATCTGGAGGGACTCTGGAGGGATAGGTTGCCAGTGCTTCGTGTTCATCTATCTGGGGGACTCCGGAGAGATAGGTTGCCAGTACCTCGTGTTTATCTATCTGGGGGACTCCGGAGGGATAGGTCGCCAGTACCTCGTGTTAATCTATCTGGGGGACTCCGGAAAGATAGGTGGCCAGTACCTCGTGTTTATCTATCTATCTGGGGGACTCCGGAGAGATAGGTGGCCAGTACCTCGTGTTTATCTATCTGGGGGACTCCGGAGAGATAGGTGGCCAGTACCTCGTGTTTATCTATCTGTGGGACTCCGGAGAGATAGGTCGCCAGTACCTCGTGTTTATCTATCTGGGGGACTCCGGAGAGATAGGTCGCCAGTACCTCGTGTTTATCTGTCTGGGGGACTCCGGAGGGATAGGTTGCCTCTTGCCTCTCACTCTACCCTGCCTCTCACTCTACCCTGCCTCTCATTCTACCCTGCCTCTCACTCTACCCTGCCTCTCACTCTACCCTTGCCTCTACCCCTGCCTCTCACTCTACTCTGCCTCTCACTCTACCCTGCCTCTCATTCTACCCTGCCTCTCACTCTACCCTGCCTCTCCCTCTACCCCTGCCCCTCACTCTACCCTTGCCTCTCACTCTACCCCTGCCCCTCACTCTACCCTGCCTCTCACTCTACCCCTGCCTCTCACTCTTCCCTGCCTCTCTCTACCTTACCTCTCACTCTACCCTGCCTCTCACTCTACCCTGCCTCTCACTCAACCCCTGCCTCTCACTCTACCCTGCCTCTCACTCTACCCCTGCCTCTCACTCTACCCTTGCCTCTCACTCTACCCCTGCCTATCACTCTACCCTTGCCTCTCACTCTACCCCTGCCTCTCACTCTACCTTGCCTCTCACTCTACCCTGCCTCTCACTCTACCCCTGCCTCTCACTCTACCCTGCCTCTCACTCTACCCCTGCCTCTCACTCTACCCTTGCCTCTCACTCTACCCTGCCTCTCACTCTACCTTGCCTCTCACTCTACCCTGCCTCTCACTCTACCCCTGCCTCTCACTCTACCCTGCCTCTCACTCTACCCCTGCCTCTCACTCTACCCTTGCCTCTCACTCTACCCTTGCCTCTCACTCTACCCTGCCTCTAATTGTACCCCTGCCTCTCACTCTACCCTGCCTCTCACTCTACCCTGCCTCTCACTCTACCCTGCCTCTCACTCTACCCTTGCCTCTCACTCTACCCTGCCTCTAATTGTACCCCTGCCTCTCACTCTACCCTGCCTCTCACTCTACCCTGCCTCTCACTCTACCCTGCCTCTCACTCTACCCTGCCTCTCACTCTACCCCTGCCTCTCACTCTACCCCTGCCTCTCACTCTACCCCTGCCTCTCACTCTACCCTTGCCTCTCACTCTACCCCTGCCTCTCACTCTACCCCTGCCTCTCACTCTACCCTGCCTCTCACTCTACCCCTGCCTCTCACTCTACCCCTGCCTTTCACTCTACCCCTGCCTCTCACTCTACCCCTGCCTCTCACTCTACCCTGCCTCTCACTCTACCCCTGCCTCTCACTCTACCCCTGCCTCTCACTCTACCCCTGCCTCTCACTCTACCCTGCCTCTCACTCTACCCTTGCCTCTCACTCTACCTTACCTCTCACTCTACCCTGCCTCTCACTCTACCCTGCCTCTCACTCAACCCCTGCCTCTCACTCTACCCTGCCTCTCACTCTACCCCTGCCTCTCACTCTACCCTGCCTCTCACTCTACCTTACCTCTCACTCTACCCTGCCTCTCACTCTACCCTGCCTCTCACTCAACCCCTGCCTCTCACTCTACCCTGCCTCTCACTCTACCCCTGCCTCTCACTCTACCCTTGCCTCTCACTCTACCCCTGCCTATCACTCTACCCTTGCCTCTCACTCTACCCCTGCCTCTCACTCTACCTTGCCTCTCACTCTACCCTGCCTCTCACTCTACCCCTGCCTCTCACTCTACCCTGCCTCTCACTCTACCCCTGCCTCTCACTCTACCCTTGCCTCTCACTCTACCCTGCCTCTCACTCTACCTTGCCTCTCACTCTACCCTGCCTCTCACTCTACCCCTGCCTCTCACTCTACCCTGCCTCTCACTCTACCCCTGCCTCTCACTCTACCCTTGCCTCTCACTCTACCCTTGCCTCTCACTCTACCCTGCCTCTAATTGTACCCCTGCCTCTCACTCTACCCTGCCTCTCACTCTACCCTGCCTCTCACTCTACCCTGCCTCTCACTCTACCCTTGCCTCTCACTCTACCCTGCCTCTCACTCTACCCTTGCCTCTCACTCTACCCTGCCTCTAATTGTACCCCTGCCTCTCACTCTACCCTGCCTCTCACTCTACCCTGCCTCTCACTCTACCCTGCCTCTCACTCTACCCTGCCTCTCACTCTACCCCTGCCTCTCACTCTACCCCTGCCTCTCACTCTACCCCTGCCTCTCACTCTACCCCTGCCACTCACTCTACCCCTGCCTCTCACTCTACCCCTGCCTCTCACTCTACCCCTGCCTCTCACTCTACCCTGCCTCTCACTCTACCCCTGCCTCTCACTCTACCCTGCCTCTCACCCTACCCCTGCCTCTCACTCTACCCTTGCCTCTCACTCTACCCTTGCCTCTCACTCTACCCTGCCTCTAATTGTACCCCTGCCTCTCACTCTACCCTGCCTCTCACTCTACCCTGCCTCTCACTCTACCCTGCCTCTCACTCTACCCTTGCCTCTCACTCTACCCTGCCTCTAATTGTACCCCTGCCTCTCACTCTACCCTGCCTCTCACTCTACCCTGCCTCTCACTCTACCCTGCCTCTCACTCTACCCTGCCTCTCACTCTACCCTGCCTCTCACTCTACCCCTGCCTCTCACTCTACCCTTGCCTCTCACTCTACCCCTGCCTATCACTCTACCCTTGCCTCTCACTCTACCCCTGCCTCTCACTCTACCTTGCCTCTCACTCTACCCTGCCTCTCACTCTACCCCTGCCTCTCACTCTACCCTGCCTCTCACTCTACCCCTGCCTCTCACTCTACCCCTGCCTCTCACTCTACCCTGCCTCTCACTCTACCCCTGCCTCTCACTCTACCCCTGCCTCTCACTCTACCCCTGCCTCTCACTCTACCCTGCCTCTCACTCTACCCTTGCCTCTCACTCTACCTTACCTCTCACTCTACCCTGCCTCTCACTCTACCCTGCCTCTCACTCAACCCCTGCCTCTCACTCTACCTTACCTCTCACTCTACCCTGCCTCTCACTCTGCCCTGCCTCTCACTCAACCCCTGCCTCTCACTCTACCCTGCCTCTCACTCTACCCTTGCCTCTCACTCTACCCCTGCCTATCACTCTACCCTTGCCTCTCACTCTACCCCTGCCTCTCACTCTACCTTGCCTCTCACTCTACCCCTGCCTCTCACTCTACCCTGCCTCTCACTCTACCCCTGCCTCTCACTCTACCCTTGCCTCTCACTCTACCCTGCCTCTCACTCTACCTTGCCTCTCACTCTACCCTGCCTCTCACTCTACCCTGCCTCTCACTCTACCCCTGCCTCTCACTCTACCCTTGTCTCTCACTCTACCCTTGCCTCTCACTCTACCCTGCCTCTAATTGTACCCCTGCCTCTCACTCTACCCTGCCTCTCACTCTACCCTGCCTCTCACTCTACCCTGCCTCTCACTCTACCCTTGCCTCTCACTCTACCCTGCCTCTAATTGTACCCCTGCCTCTCACTCTACCCTGCCTCTCACTCTACCCTTGCCTCTCACTCTACCCTTGCCTCTCACTCTACCCTGCCTCTCACTCTACCCCTGCCTCTCACTCTACCCCTGCCTCTCACTCTACCCCTGCCACTCACTCTACCCCTGCCTCTCACTCTACCCCTGCCTCTCACTCTACCCCTGCCTCTCACTCTACCCTGCCTCTCACTCTACCCCTGCCTCTCACTCTACCCTTGCCTCTCACTCTACCCCTGCCTCTCACTCTACCCCTGCCTCTCACTCTACCCCTGCCTCTCACTCTACCCCTGCCTCTCACTCTACCCTTGCCTCTCACTCTACCCCTGCCTCTCACTCTACCCCTGCCTCTCACTCTACCCTGCCTCTCACTCTACCCCTGCCTCTCACTCTACCCTTGCCTCTCACTCTACCCCTGCCTCTCACTCTACCCCTGCCTCTCACTCTACCCCTGCCTCTCACTCTACCCCTGCCTCTCACTCTACCCCTGCCTCTCACTCTACCCCTGCCTCTCACTCTACCCCTGCCTCTCACTCTACCCCTGCCTCTCACTCTACCCCTGCCTCTCACTCCACCCTGCCTCTCATTCTACCCCTGCCTCTCATTCTACCCCTGCCTCTCACTCTACCCCTGCCTATCACTCTACCCTGCCTCTCACTCTACCCTTGCCTCTCACTCTACCCCTGCCTATCACTCTACCCTTGCCTCTCACTCTACCCCTGCCTCTCACTCTACCTTGCCTCTCACTCTACCCCTGCCTCTCACTCTACCCTGCCTCTCACTCTACCCCTGCCTCTCACTCTACCCTTGCCTCTCACTCTACCCTGCCTCTCACTCTACCTTGCCTCTCACTCTACCCTGCCTCTCACTCTACCCTGCCTCTCACTCTACCCCTGCCTCTCACTCTACCCTTGTCTCTCACTCTACCCTTGCCTCTCACTCTACCCTGCCTCTAATTGTACCCCTGCCTCTCACTCTACCCTGCCTCTCACTCTACCCTGCCTCTCACTCTACCCTTGTCTCTCACTCTACCCTTGTCTCTCACTCTACCCTGCCTCTCACTCTACCCCTGCCTCTCACTCTACCCTTGTCTCTCACTCTACCCTTGCCTCTCACTCTACCCTGCCTCTAATTGTACCCCTGCCTCTCACTCTACCCTTGCCTCTCACTCTACCCTGCCTCTCACTCTACCCCTGCCTCTCACTCTACCCCTGCCTCTCACTCTACCCCTGCCACTCACTCTACCCCTGCCTCTCACTCTACCCCTGCCTCTCACTCTACCCCTGCCTCTCACTCTACCCTGCCTCTCACTCTACCCCTGCCTCTCACTCTACCCTTGCCTCTCACTCTACCCCTGCCTCTCACTCTACCCCTGCCTCTCACTCTACCCCTGCCTCTCACTCTACCCCTGCCACTCACTCTACCCCTGCCTCTCACTCTACCCCTGCCTCTCACTCTACCCCTGCCTCTCACTCTACCCTGCCTCTCACTCTACCCCTGCCTCTCACTCTACCCTTGCCTCTCACTCTACCCCTGCCTCTCACTCTACCCCTGCCTCTCACTCTACCCCTGCCTCTCACTCTACCCTGCCTCTCACTCTACCCCTGCCTCTCACTCTACCCTGCCTCTCACTCTACCCTGCCTCTCACTCTACCCCTGCCTATCACTCTACCCTGCCTCTCACTCTACCCTGCCTCTCACTCTACCCCTGCCTCCTGTGTTCCAGGACAAGATTGTGCTAACAGGAGAGAGGTACAAGGTCAGCGTGGTCAGTGATGTGAATGTCAACCAGGGGATGCTGGTGATCGAGGAGCTCCAGGACAGCGACGAGGGCACATACTCCTGTGTCGCCCACAACCAGGGAGGAAATGTGACTGAGTCTGTCTTCATCAACACCATTGGTGAGTGTGGAAACGAGCGCCATTCAAACAAAGGGACATAACTCTTTGATTTTCATTTGACCATTAGGAGAGGGAAGTGTTTGACTGCTTATCAAATACAGTGTCTAATTGATCGTAAAGTGAGATTATGTCTAGGGGTGACAATTGAGGCATTTTTGACTATTGCGATACTAATGCGATAGTTAAAACAACTATTGCGATACTATTGCGATAGTTTTCACTTGCAATTATAGCAGCATATATTTCAGCATTTTGACTGACACCATCAAAATAATTATAACTTTCTGATACTATTTGTAAAGAAAACAAGAAATGAAAAGAAAACAAGTTCAAATTGACCTCTCTAAAACAAAAACAAAATTTCACTTCATGTAACTGGTAAAGTCTTAGGTTACTGCAGTGTTTTAGCACCAATGTGAATGAATGTGATAGAATGACTAGTATTTGACTATACAAACTGTCAACATATCAATGTACCAAACAAATTAACTATCGAAACTATCGATAGTTAGACAAACTATCGCCAATAGTATCGATTGTTTCAAGCTGCAATCGATAGTGTACTATCGTGAGACAAGCAATCGCAATCAATCGATAGTTCGATGTATCGTTTCACCACTAATTATGCTTGTCTTTAGAAATACTTGGTTGCGTGTTGGAAGGCCAGTGTCTGATTGACCATAAAGTGTGACTGTTTGTTGTGTGCTAGCAAACTCGCCATTTCTCTTTTCTTATGATCATTGATGATATCATTTAGATTAGGTTAACATTGTGTGTTGTGCTCCTTACAGTGCCTCCTGTCATTGAGCCTATCATAAACCAGTCTGTACCAGAAGGCAATGCTGTGGAGCTTGTGTGTATCGCCAAGGGCGACCCTGCCCCAGTCGTCACCTGGAGAATCGCAGGCTCCGACATCACCATTTCCGACAGCCAAGTGAGTTGCTGTAAAGTTGGACCCCGTTCCACAAAGCCATCTTAGCGCTAAGGTGATCGTAACTCCCATACTTTAGCATTGGCTTACGATAGTCATAGCGCAAAGATCTCTTTGTGGAATGGTGCACTGTTCTAGTTTCTGAGGGGTGGTTGGGTAGCCTAGTGGTTAAAGCGTTCGCTCGTCACGCCGAAGACCCGGGTTCGAATCCTGACATGGGTACAATGTGTGAAGGCCATTTCTGGTGTCATGTATGTTATGCTTGGACAAGCCATGAGAAATCACAGACTATCAGCGATGGGTATTGATTAAACTTTCGTATTACAATGTGTTGCAATGATGGTTCATGTGTTGCGATACATACCACAATATATTGCATGCCTTCTTTCATCTGTAAATGTTTTGAACCTGAATGAAATAGCACTATACATCAAACTTTCCCCACACATTTTTAACAATTTCGTAGTCGTAATTATTTCGTAATTATTTTTGACCCGTGAAGATTCCGGGGTAGAATAGGTCTTCAGCAACCCATGCTTGCCGTAAAAGGTGACTATGCTTGTCGTAAAAGGCGACTAAAAGGATCGGGTGGTCAGGCTCGCTGACTTGGTTGATGCATGTCATCAATCCCAATTGCATGGATCGATGCTCATGATATTAATCCCTGGATTGTCTGGTCCAGACTTGATTATTTACAGACCGCCGTCACATAGCTGGAATATTGCTGAGTGAGGCGTTAAACAACAAACCAACAACCAACAACTAAATTATTTTGAATGTTGCTATAGTGACAACGCATGGGTAATAGAAATGTTACATACAGATAGCTGTTTTGAAGACTTTTGCTTTTTGTGCAATGGAATGATGTGGCTAACCTAATTTGAATTTGACCTGTCTGTAAGCTAGGGTAGGAACAATTTACCTCATACAGTCAGTCACCAAATGTGACGTAAGTGCAGAGCTCCAGATAAGCTGCGTATCTGCGTGAAATACGCATCAGAAATGCAGAAATACACTGTAAAATATAATCCAAGCGTATCAAATACGCAACGAACATTACAGATACGCTACAAAAATAAAACTTGTGCGTATCATCAAAATATTGTGAAGTAACCCTGCGTATTCGATTAGCAAATCAGCAACTTAATTTGAAATTATAAAGGGGTATTCCGTCAACCTTGTCAAACTCCACGATGACAGTAACATCATGATCATTTGCCATCACACTTTCTTGTGGAAGTATCGTGGTATTTTTTAGTCCTATAAAGCTCCCGAACCCACACGACACCAGTTTGCAGGGACTAGATGAATAGTGTTTTTAAATATTTAACTTAAATACCCACATGTGTAAAAACTAGTGGGTAACAGAAATTTGAATACCCAGGTAGAATTACTGATACCCAATGATTTTAAAATGCATGGGTAAAATACCCACAACACCAAAAGCTTATCTGGAGCTCTGTAAGTGTGTGTGAATGCTGCAGGACAAAGACATCACCATTGAATCATCTGTGGAGGAACAGCCTCTGATTCAAGTCAGGACCGTCAAGCTCAAGTTCGCCAAACTGGAACCAAAGCACGCCAACAACTACACATGCTCTGCCTCCAATGAAGCCGGAACTCAGGAGAAAGATGGCCGCGTTCTCGTTGAGTGTAAGTAGCCGGTCAATCTTACATACCTATCTGTGTGCACATGTGGATTCCAGGACTGAATAGGTCTCCAGTGCCCCCTGCTTGTCTGTGTGTGGGGAGTCAGGGTAAGACTTGGTCTCCAGTGCCCCCTGCTTGTCTGTGTGTGGGGAGTCAGGGTAAGACTTGGTCTCCAGTGCCCCCTGCTTGTCTGTGTGTGGGGAGTCAGGGTAAGACTAGGTCTCCAGTGCCCCCTGCTTGTCTGTGTGTGGGGAGTCAGGGTAAGACTTGGTCTCCAGTGCCTCATGCTTGTCTTATTTGGGGAGTCAGGGTAAGACTAGGTCTCCAGTGCCTCATGCTTGTCTGTGTGTGGGGAGTCAGGGTAAGACTTGGTCTCCAGTGCCTCATGCTTGTCTTATTTGGGGAGTCAGGGTAAGACTTGGTCTCCAGTGCCCCCCGCTTGTCTGTGTGTTGGGGAGTCAGGGTAAGACTAGGTCTCCAGTGCCTCATGCTTGTCTCATTTGGGGAGTCAGGGTAAGACTAGGTCTCCAGTGCCCAATGCTGGTCTCATTTGGGGAGTCAGGGTAAGACTAGGTCTCCAGTGCCCAATGCTTGTCTCATTTGGGGAGTCAGGGTAAGACTAGGTCTCCAGTGCCCAATGCTTGTCTCATTTGGGGAGTCAGGGTAAGACTTGGTCTCCAGTGCCCAATGCTTGTCTCATTTGGGGAGTCAGGGTAAGACTAGGTCTCCAGTGCCCAATGCTTGTCTCATTTGGGGAGTCAGGGTAAGACTAGGTCTCCAGTGCCCCCTGATTGTGTCATTTGGGGATTCAGGGTAAGACTTGGTCTCCAGTGTCCCCTGCTTGTCTCATTTGGGGAGTCAGGGTAAGACTTGGTCTCCAGTGCCCCCTGCTTGTCTGTGTGTGGGGAGTCAGGGTAAGACTTGGTCTCCAGTGCCTCATGCTTGTCTTATTTGGGGAGTCAGGGTAAGACTAGGTCTCCAGTGCCTCATGCTTGTCTGTGTGTGGGGAGTCAGGGTAAGACTTGGTCTCCAGTGCCTCATGCTTGTCTTATTTGGGGAGTCAGGGTAAGACTAGGTCTCCAGTGCCCCCCGCTTGTCTGTGTGTTGGGGAGTCAGGGTAAGACTAGGTCTCCAGTGCCTCATGCTTGTCTCATTTGGGGAGTCAGGGTAAGACTAGGTCTCCAGTGCCCAATGCTGGTCTCATTTGGGGAGTCAGGGTAAGACTAGGTCTCCAGTGCCCAATGCTTGTCTCATTTGGGGAGTCAGGGTAAGACTAGGTCTCCAGTGCCCAATGCTTGTCTCATTTGGGGAGTCAGGGTAAGACTTGGTCTCCAGTGCCCAATGCTTGTCTCATTTGGGGAGTCAGGGTAAGACGAGGTCTCCAGTGCCCCCCGCTTGTCTCATTTGGGGAGTCAGGGTAAGACTAGGTCTCCAGTGCCCAATGCTTTTCTCATTTTAGGGAGTCAGGGTAAGGCTAGGTCTCAAGTGCCCCTTGCTTGTCTCATTTGGGGAGTCAGGGTAAGACTAGGTCTCCAGTGCCCCCTGCTTGTCTGTGTGTGGGGGATTCAGGGTAAGACTAGGTCTCCAGTGCCCAATGCTTGTCTGTGTGTGGGGAGTCAGGGTAAGACTAGGTCTCCAGTGCCTCATGCTTGTCTGTGTGTGGGGAGTCAGGGTAAGACTAGGTCTCCAGTGCCCAATGCTTGTCTCATTTGGGGAGTCAGGGTAAGACTTGGTCTCCAGTGCCCAATGCTTGTCTCATTTGGGGAGTCAGGGTAAGACTAGGTCTCCAGTGCCCCCTGCTTGTCTGTGTGTGGGGGATTCAGGGTAAGACTAGGTCTCCAGTGCCCCCCCCCTTGTCTCATTTGGGGAGTCAGGGTAAGACTGGGTCTCCAGTGTCCCCTGCTTGGCTCATTTGGGGAGTCAGGGTAAGACTTGGTCTCCAGTGCCCCCCCCTTGTCTCATTTGGGGAGTCAGGTTAAGACTAGGTCTCCAGTGCCCCCCCCTTGTCTCATTTGGGGAGTCAGGGTAAGACTAGATCTCCAGTGCCCCCCGCTTGTCTGTGTGTGGGGAGTCAGGGTAAGACTAGGTCTCCAGTGTCCCCTGCTTGTCTCATTTGGGGAGTCAGGGTAAGACTTGGTCTCCAGTGCCTCATGCTTGTCTCATTTGGGGAGTCAGGGTAAGACTTGGTCTCCAGTGCCCCTTGCTTGTCTCATTTTGGGAGTCAGGGTAAGACTTGGTCTCCAGTGCCTCATGCTTGTCTCATTTGGGGAGTCAGGGTAAGACTAGGTCTCCAGTGCCCCCTGCTTGTGTCATTTGGGGAGTCAGGGTAAGACTAGGTCTCCAGTGCCTCTTGCTTGTCTGTGTGTGTGGGATTCAGGGTAAGACTTGGTCTCCAGTGTCCCCTGCTTGTCTCATTTGGGGAGTCAGGGTAACACTAGGTCTCCAGTGCCCCCTGCTTGTCTGTGTGTTGGGGAGTCAGGGTAAGACTAGGTCTCCAGTGCCCCCTGCTTGTCTGTGTGTGGGGGAGTCAGGGTAAGACTAGGTCTCCAGTGCCCCCCGCTTGTCTCATTTGGGGAGTCAGGGTAAGACTTGGTCTCTCGCATTTTCGCATATAATTCATGTTTGTGTTAATTCCAAGATTTACAGTATAGGTGACAACCACAATGCCCTTAATTCCTGTTTATTTGTTTCAGTCAAGCCCAACTTCGATGACACTCCATACTCGTCCACATACAGTTGGCTGAACGAGAAGACGGAGATCAAGTGCGTAGCGAATGCTGTACCTCTCGCCGTCATCAAGTGGAAGCACAATGGCGCCATCATCACCGAAGGACCCAACTTCAAGATCAGCTCAGAGCGAGGAACTAGACAGATGACCAGCATCCTCGAGGTTTGTTGTGTTTCCTGTTTCAATACCTCACTCCAGAGGCTGGTCGTGTAGCCTTGTGGTTAAAGCGTTCGCCCGTCACGCTGAAGACCCGGGTTCGATTCCCGACATGGGTACAATGTGTGAAGGCCATTTCTGGTGTCCCCCGCCGTGATATTGCTGGAATATTGCTAAAAGCGGCGTAAAACCAAACTAACTAACTCCCCTCACTCCAGAGCTACAGATAAGCAGCTTATTTGGGTGAAATACCCCCCCCCAAAAATATTCAAAACCCAAATACTTTCAATTAACTTGCGTATAATATGATTTCAATTAAAATTGTTTAATTCACTGGACAATTAATAACAAATAATATCATTTTAGATATACATTGAAAATATACGTTTGTCTCTGTTATAATAACGATCTGTTAACGTAGTGAACGGTCTAATTAATATTCATGAGTTATATTCATGAGTCTGCTCAAGTGTACGCGTTGTAACATTTGGATCGAGACTATTATCCCATATTTAGTTATCACGTGACCTCACGGGAAAAGTGTTTTTAAAAACTAAAGATTATTTAAAAACAAGACAGATAATATAATCACAAATACTAAAATATCGTTGATAGCAATAGTTGTTTGAGTACTTTTTTCATCTGTACTTAATTATTGACCATAAAAAATTTGGTATTGATCATCACAGAAAGCAAAATGGCGGTCAATCAAGATTCAATATACAACTAGCTACTGAAAACAATAAAATCTGCACATCCTTATTGTATGTCAACCAAGTGAAAGTCGTTAGCCACGACTCACAAAATGATCGTCCGGACTTTGAGGGTTTGGCAGATCCGTTCGACTGATCTGCAGTCACACTTTCGATTCTTGTCTGAGGTTACGTATCGTAGCATTGTGAGGATAATGAGGTACATCGATGATGCAAGGTATTTATGTACAGTTGTAAACACCTTTCACTCAAATTAACAAGATGTTCTCAGTAATTAATCCTCGATTAATCAGTGTCAACTCAGTTTATTGCCTATTACAGTGATTGACCGCTTGGACTATCATGTAGGTACGATGTATTTACAGCAATCAAATCAAACAAAGCTTGTCAGTGTGGATAATCTTCATTGTGTTACAACTGCAGACAGAAACTGCTCAGTTCTAACTGTTGATAATGTCCGGGGTCAAAATTTAAGAATGTCCGGACAATACTTTTTAAAATGTCCGGACAGAAAAATTTAAATGTCCGGTCAGCAATATTTTAAACCGGACATTTGAGATTCCCAATCGGACATGTCCGGCGCATATGACAGTTTTTGTATAATTATATAGAGATATGCTACTACAACTGTGGACCTGTGAAGATCTGGGGTAGAATAGGTCTTCAGCAACCCATGCTTGCCCTGAAAGGCAACTATGCTTGTCGTAAGAGGTGACTTACAGATCGGGTGTCAGGCTTGCTGACATGGTTGATAGATGTCATTGTATCCTAATTGCATGGAGCGATGCTCTTGATGTCAATCACTGGATTGTCTGGTCCAGACTTGATTATTTACAGGCCGCTGTCATATAGCTGGACTATTGCTGAGTTCGGCGTCAAACAAACAAATAAACAAACAAACCACAACTGTGACAATGAAGACTAAGACATATATATCTTTTCACATGGAAGTGACGATATCACTTATCCAATGCAGGGTATGTGTCATCTCGTGATGGCTCCTGTTGTTATCAGCAGTAAGTTGGAAATAACTGTTGTTTATCTTTCAGGTTTCGGTGAATGTTGAGAATATGAACACCATCTTCGGGAAGTTCACGTGTGTGGCTGAGAACTTGCATGGCGAGCAAGAGAAGGAAATCACGTTGATTCAAGCAGGTAGGTTCAGTAATAGCTGGTAGTGCGACGATACACCGATGCATCGCTTGATCATGATTTTTTAACTTCTCGTCTGTCAAATTGAAATTTGATCGTCAATGACAGGAGACCAACAGCCATCTGAACCTCAAACAGATTCCATGGCCCTTTAGTCTTGGTTCGCATCATCATAAAGTCCGTTGTATGTTTCGTTTTTGTCCCCCGCCGCGCGAAAGCGCGAAGCGGGGGAGATAGTATTCACGACCGTCCGTACGTACGTCCCACCTGTTTGTTGCCGCGATATCTCAAGAACTAAACACTGGATTGTCTTCATATTTGGAACTATGGTGTATATACAGACTCCGCAGACACCAGTCGGTTTTGGTGACCTTGACCCCATTTTCAAGGTCACAGCAGGCATATCTGCTTTTGGAGTTGGAAAACGGTGTTGCCGCGATATCTCAAGAACTAATGTCTGGATTGTCTTCCTATTTGGAACTAGGGTGTATATACAGACACCGCAGACACCAGTCGGTTTTGGTGACCTTGACCCTATTTTCAAGGTCACAGCAGGCAAATCTGCTTTTTGAGTTGGAAAACGGTGTTGCCGCGATATCTAAAGAACTAATCGCTGGATTGTCTTCATATTTGGTATTTTGGTGTATATACAGGCGGGGGACATTTCGTCACTTCTGTGACAAATACTTGTTATTTCCATTTTTAAAAAAATAAAAAAATCCTAATACTTAAAAACAATGCGATCCAATAAAGCACACAGGTACATGCACACTGCTTTGCTGCACATCTCGTGTTTTGGTCATGGCGGCTATAGGAGTTTGTATGCTTGTTTATGTAGGGAGGCCCTTTCCCAGGTTGATGGTACACAACTGTTTATTTGGTTACATGTATACTCGATTGAGAGAAATAAACACTGCCCTCCTGCACTATATTTAGAAAAGTCTGAGAACCAATTCTTTTATTTTTTGAAGCCTTATTTGATGTCTTTTTTTTATTTTCAGTTGTGCCATCCGCTCCGAGTATTTCCATTGATGGGGTATCCCCCACGACCATCGATCTGCTGATAACCCCGCATCAAGAGACCGGCGGCCAGCCCATCATTGACTACAAGGTCGTGTACTACGCAGAGGGCGATGAGCAGAACAAGGTCACGCGAATGGCACCTGTCAGTAAGTGGAACTGTTTATCAATTTTTATTTTTTTTTTTTATTTACGCCCAAAGTTTTGTTCCTGTTTTTGAGGCACCTTTGAGGCCTTTCAGTGCACCTGCACTAACAGTTCTGTTGAGTGCTGTTTATTCCACCTGTGTCATGTTTTGCCAATTTCAATATCATGTTTTATTTAGCTGTTTAACTTTTTCCTATGTTTCTCAGGCTCAAATTCCCAGGAACTGCGAACTCAGTTCCTCATCGATAAGCTGACGGCAGAGGTGCGGTACTACATCAGTGTGGAGGCTCGCAACAACGTAGGCTATGGGGCCAAGGCTGAAATCTCCGACACGACACCAGCTGTCCGTAAGTTGAAACCTGACCTTCAGTAGCGGGATGATACATTGCAGAGATTTACTGTGGTCTTAAGACACCTTGACGCTCCTGACAGTCCTGTTGACAATGCATCTGTGATGTCTTATACATTATTCCTGATATCTCTTGAATATTGCTCTATATGTTATTTAGAATCAACTAAAATACAAAAAGATGGTTTCTTCCTTAATTCACACAGACAAAGGACGCAATTTATTTTGTTTATCGACTAGTATGTGATAGTGGAACATCTCGGTGTCGATATTTCGTCAGTCTCACCACGTGACTGGGGATGACACAGTGGCACATTTGTATCTCGGTAAATCTTAAAATGCTCGCTCATTTGGGGGAAAATTCGTGGAGTGATGAAAAGATGAGTGAAAAATTTCGATTACCCGATGAAAAATGTAATAACCCAATTCAAATAGAAACCTTCAAGTAAAAACTCACTTGCTCAAAAAGTTATTTGGAGCTCTGATTCCATATTAAAAATCTGGGGACTGAGGTTTGATACTCGCCTTTTACTGGTCCACTAAGTGTTAAACATACTGCTTTGTGTCTTCAGGGCAGCCAAACAATCCAAAAGTTACCTCCCCTAGGACTAGTGACGATCCCAACACGTATAAGTTGGTTTGGGAGAAACCCGAGACTGGAGGCAAGCCCCTGACTGGCTACAAGGTCAAGTATTACCAGGTATGTATATCAGTGATTTTGATATGCAAAATTGCATCTAGGTCAATGACCTAGACCCGAGAAATGTGCGAAGTCAATAGCAAAAATCGTTTAGTCTGAATGTTTCAAATAGATGAACCACAACAACAGATCAATGCAAGACTGTTCGTGATTGGATGAATGTATACAATCTGGCCAATGAACATCGCGATAAGAAAAGCGCTTGACTAGGTCACTGTAGCTCCTGACAGTGTTTCCCTGTAATACAGAAAGTAGGATGCAAAGACACGCACTGCTCAGAGTTTTAATTATGATTTTTGATGGCTGTGCATTGTTCTATGAAATTGATACTGTAAGTAGGACTAATCCTTACTATTTACTTTTAATTCTATCTCTCAAAAGTCTGACTAGTTAATTAAACCATCTGACACATTGAAATTTTATCGGTGACGAACAGTCGCCTGAAACTCAGGATCTCACTACCAAGGCGGCCATCAATAGGATGTGTGAAATGAACTGAATATTCCATCTTGTGTACCATGTGATTCCAGTGGAAAGTTTGCAGGTTGTAGGGTAGCTTTCCTTAAGGGCGACCGGGTGGCTCAGTCACCTAAGGCGCCACAATTTGCTGTGCACAGTTGTCTCCCTTGGTCATGCCAGGAACTTATAAATGTGGTAACGTCTGAGACATAAATCACCTCGGGCCTTCCTCCCACGTTAAGCTGACGCACCTTGATATGACTGGAATACTGTTCAAAGTGGCGTTAAACACGACTCAATTGTATCCCAATTGTTCATGGCGTCAATCATTGGATTGTCTGGTTCAGACTCGATTATTTACAGACTGCCGTCATATAGCTGGAATGTTGCTGAGTGCGGCGTTAAACAACAAACGAAAACCCTGTGAACGTGAGGTTCAGTTGATAATGGTGCATATTGCATTCATAGTCATATTTCAGTGTCATGGCATTAAATGTGTGTTCAGGTGGAGCTGAAAGCGGATGACCCCGAGAAGGTTGAGAAGGTGGTTGGCGAGATGATAACAAAGACCGTCGACCAGGGCGACACCACCCAGATTAGTCTGACTGAATTGATGCCCAGTTCCGCCTACGAACTGCAGATCACTGCCATGAACGCCATCGGCGTCTCCATGGCCACCACTAAAATATTCACAACACCACCAGGCGGACGTAAGTGATTCTTTATGCTCTCTGACATCTATACTTGTGGATGGAAACTGGCATGAGTTGTTGGACTTAATGTCTTCAGCAACTATCGCGTTTAAGCTATTAATGAAATGTTCTTGAGTGTTTGGAATTTTAATATAAGATAGGTGGTAAGATAATTGCACTCCGCAGAGGTCGAATGCAGCTCCCCGAGCGATACTAGGTCCTCAATACACCATGCTTGTCTTTCCTCGGCATTCCGAGGCAGAATAGGTCCTCAATACACCATGCTTGTCTTTCCTCGGCATTCCGAGGCAGAATAGGTCCTCAGTACACCGTGCTTGTCTCCCTTGGCATTCCGAGGCAGATTAGGTCCTCAATACGCCGTGCTTGTCTCCCTTGGCATTCCGAGGCAGAATAGGTCCTCATTGTCTCCCTTGGCATTCCGAGGCAGAATAGGTCCTCAATACGCCGTGCTTGTCTACCTTGGCATTCCGAGGCAGAATAGGTCCTCAATACGCCATGCTTGTCTCCCTTGGCATTCCGAGGCAGAATAGGTCCTCAGTACACCGGCCTTGTCTCCCTTGGCATTCCGAGGCAGAATAGGTCCTCAATACACCGTGCTTGTTTCCCTTGGCATTCCGAGGCAGAATAGGTCCTCAGTACACCGTGCTTGTCTCCCTTGGCATTCCGAGGCAGAATAGGTCCTCAATACACCGTGCTTGTCTCCCTTGGCATTCCGAGGCAGAATAGGTCCTCAATACGCCGTGCTTGTCTACCTTGGCATTCCGAGGCAGAATAGGTCCTCAATACACCGTGCTTGTCTCCCTTGGCATTCCGAGGCAGACGATGTATGTTCCTCATTCCCAATGAAGTTGCAGCCAATGAAGGTTTGGAGAGTACAACATGAAATCTCTGGCGTGAATCGCTGCTGTTGGTATTGACCACATGTTTGACAGGTCCGGACAGGGTCGCTTATACAGTATATAAACAGTATTCACCCCCTTTCCCTTCCGAGACTTAACACTGATAGACAGTTAAGAAGTCTCCAGGATCAAGACTTGGTGATTTGTTTTAGGATTTAGAGAATAACGATAGAAATGAAGAGAAAAAATGCTGAAGGCAGTATTTGTTAGTCCAACAAGCGTGCTAGTTTCCATAAATACTTTGATATATTTTGCATTTGTTTCTATCATTTGGAGACTTAATTAACAAAATTGAAGTACATGCAGAAATTTAATAATGTCGGGTTGATTTGCTTTGACAATGATTCTAACTGAAATAGTTGAATCTATTCTGGGTTTACTGGTGAAACATTTGCAAACTATGTTGCAGACACATTAGTGCACTAAACGGGCTGATATTCAGACACAAAGTCAGCTTGCAGGTCATGTTATACCAGAGCAACAAAAACAAGGCAAATAAACCGTGGCCAGATTATCTACGCAGTTTTGAGAAAATTTGTTTTAACGAAAATCTTGAAAAAAATCTAAATTCTATAATTGTTAATCGTTATAATTGCTGAGTTGTTGTTAGTCATTTAGGATCAGAATGTATTCTTTTATTTTTCATAATGGACGCTGCATTACAAAATATTGGTTATTGCTGATATGCAATTTAAAATTGAAGGGTAACTACAAGTTTTGAACAAATGAATCTGAAATGTTCCGCTGGGTATAACATGAGGCATGTCTTTGTCAGGTGTTCAGGATTGTCTAAATTTTGAAATGTTTCTGAATGAAGTAAAACACCTCAAACCCAGTTTGCTATTTAATATCCATTAAAGGTAAAGACGCACACCACCGATTCCATACTAACCCTATTTATTGCAGTCGTGTATTGTTTGTTTTTCAGTCCCTAACACAGGAAGTAAGATATATTTAGTATTTACTAATCACTTATCATTCATCCCCATGGTAACCAGAGCAGAGTAGCGCTCTACAGGCAGATTCCAAGTAATCAGGGCAGACTTTGCCACTAGTACGTTGCACGTGGTAGATTCCACAGTCGATCAGTGTCGTTTACTGTGTCAGGCACCTTGTTTATAGCCAGCCACTTGTGTTCCAACAAATGTTCCCTTGTGGATAGACCTGTGAAAAACTGGGGTAGAATAGGTCTTCAGAAACCCATGCTTGCTGTAAGAGGTGGACCTGTGAACATCCGGGGTAGAATAGGTCTTCAGAAACCCATGCTTGCTGTAAGAGGTGGACCCGTGAACATACGGGGTAGAATAGGTCTTCAGAAACCCATGCTTGCTGTAAGAGGTGGACCCGTGAACATCAGGGGTAGAATAGGTCTTCAGAAACCCATGCTTGCTGTAAGAGGTGGACCCGTGAACATCCAGGGTAGAATAGGTCTTCAGCAACCCATGCTTGCTGTAAAAGGTGACTTGGCTTATTGTAAGAGGCGACTAACGGGATTGGATGGTCAGACTCGCTGTCTTGGTTCATGCATATCATCGTATTCCAATTGCATGGATCGATGCTCTTGATGTCAATCACTGGATTGTCTGGTCCAGACTCGATTATTTACAGACCGCCGTCATATAGCTGGCATATTGCTGAGTGCGGCATTACATAACAAACAAACCAACCTTGTGGGGATTTGGGGCAGAATAGGTTCCCGGGAGTAGTTGAGAGGCTGAACTGACGATCGGGTGGTCGTTTGCGCCCCAGCTGACTGCTTGTCGTTGTGCCCAGACGCATGGATCTTTGCTCATCAGCCTCCGGGTTGTCTGACCGACTTGATTCATGGCCATCGTGTTCTGGCTGGAATATTGCCACGGCAACACAAAACAACATTCACTCACTCAAGGGGACGGTCGGGTAGCCTAGTGGTTAAAGTGTTCGCTCGACACGCCGAATCCCCGGGTTTGATTCCCGACATGGGTACATTGTGTGTCCAATTCTGGTGTCCCCCGCTGTAATATTGCTGGAATATTGCTAAAAGCGGCGTAAAACCATACTCACTCACTCACTCAAGTTTGTTGGCCAAGGAACGTATTGGAACAGATCTCGCTGCAGTGATAATTTCCAGCTTTCATCCAAATATAATCTAATGAAAACTTGTTCTGATTCTGAGAACTGATCAAGAAAGGTCTTTTCAAACTGTGAGTGAACTGAAGCGGTTAAGTCAGAATGAATTTTACTCGCATGTGGAGACGTTTCCTATGAATCTTAGGAGTGACAGTGAATAATTTCTCTGTGTCAATCTTGAGTTATTTTATTAGTTCCTTCCTTTATGAATTAAGGTGTTGTATTGCTAGCTACCGATGTCTGTGCCTGAGGCGGTTTGGTTGGAATGACTTGTGTGTAGTAGAGGACACAGCATCTCTCCTAGAACTAACATAGCAGGACTGGTCGTACTTCAGGCGTAAGTACAGCGGTGGCTGTGTCTGTAGTCAGCTTTCCGGTAGCTTCAGTTCTCGGTGTCTACTCTATTCCGTGTTCACATGACAGAGGACATGCTAAGGGGAATCCCGTTGAGTATGTTAACAATTAATATACGAATCAGCAGCCCCAAGTACCAGCTGGTTACGTTATGGACAAAACCACGCGAATTTATTGATTCTACTTCTGGAATACACGGGACGGTTGGGTAGCCTAATGGTTTAAGCCTTCACTCGTCAGGCCGAAGACCAAGGTTCGATTCCCGACATGGGTACAATGTGTGAAGCCCATTGCTGGTGTCCCCCGCCGTGATATTGCTGGAATATTGCTAAAAGCGGCGTAAAATCAAACTCACTCACTCACTCACTTACTTACTTACTCTGGAACACACAGATTTTAGTAACTTCTCTTGGTTGATAATATAAATAATGACCTGTCAGTCAGTTTTACTTAAACAAAATGCACATTCAGTATGACTTGTGAATTCCTGCCCTAGCATGGCGTCATCGTAATAGTTCCATGACGGCAGGGGTGTGCAGACAGGTTGCAATGGCTCTAGCTGGGTCTTCCCCAGGCTGCTTCAGCATGGAGGCCCATTTGTAAGGATAGCATGTCCTGTGTCACGTGAACGCAACAGTTAGAATCACAAGATCGTGGACTATCGTTTGTTTGGGTGAAGATGTAAAGGAGAATTTAGTCCTTCTGACTTAAACTGCATTAAGAGTCTCTGCTAGAAGTGATGCTAGGACCCTCTTGTGTGATACTTGGACCCTCTTATGTGATGCTAGGACCCTCTTATGTGATGCTAGGACCCTCTTGTGTGATACTTGGACCCTCTTATGTGATGCTAGGACCCTCTTATGTGATGCTAAGACCCTCTTGTGTGATACTTCGACCCTCTTATGTGATGCTAGGACCCTCTTGTGTGATGCTAGGACCCTCTTGTGTGATGCTAGGACCCTCTTGTGTGATACTAGGACCCTCTTGTGTGATCCTTGGACCCTCTTGTGTGATGCTAGGACCCTCTTGTGTGATGCTAGGACCCTCTTGTGTGATACTAGGACCCTCTTGTGTGATACTTGGACCCTCTTGTGTGATACTTGGACCCTCTTGTGTGATACTTGGACCCTCTTGTGTGATGCTTGGACCCTCTTGTGTGATACTAGGACCCTCTTGTGTGATGCTAGGACCCTCTTGTGTGATACTTGGACCCTCTTGTGTGATGCTAGGACCCTCTTGTGTGATGCTAGGACCCTCTTGTGTGATGCTTGGACCCTCTTGTGTGATACTAGGACCCTCTTGTGTGATGCTAGGACCCTCTTGTGTGATACTAGGACCCTCTTGTGTGATACTAGGACCCTCTTGTGTGATGCTAGGACCCTCTTGTGTGATACTTGGACCCTCTTGTGTGATACTAGGACCCTCTTGTGTGATACTTGGACCCTCTTGTGTGATGCTAGGACCCTCTTGTGTGATGCTAGGACCCTCTTGTGTGATTGTAGGACCCTCTTGTGTGATGCTAGGACCCTCTTGTGTGATACTTGGACCCTCTTGTGTGATGCTTGGACCCTCTTGTGTGATACTAGGACCCTCTTGTGTGATGCTAGGACCCTCTTGTGTGATGCTAGGACCCTCTTGTGTGATACTTGGACCCTCTTGTGTGATGCTAGGACCCTCTTGTGTGATGCTAGGACCCTCTTGTGTGATGCTTGGACCCTCTTGTGTGATACTAGGACCCTCTTGTGTGATGCTAGGACCCTCTTGTGTGATACTAGGACCCTCTTGTGTGATACTAGGACCCTCTTGTGTGATGCTAGGACCCTCTTGTGTGATACTTGGACCCTCTTGTGTGATACTAGGACCCTCTTGTGTGATACTAGGACCCTCTTGTGTGATACTTGGACCCTCTTGTGTGATGCTAGGACCCTCTTGTGTGATACTTGGACCCTCTTGTGTGATACTTGGACCCTCTTATGTGATACTTGGACCCTCTTGTGTGATACTAGGACCCTCTTGTGTGATACTTGGACCCTCTTATGTGATACTTGGACCCTCTTGTGTGATACTAGGACCCTCTTGTGTGATGCTAGGACCCTCTTGTGTGATGCTAGGACCCTCTTGTGTGATACAATGTACTTGGACCACATGCGCCGTATCGCATATCCCCTTTAGTTTAGTGCTTTTCTTATCTGGGACAGCATATGTTTTGTGAAAGAAAAGGATAAAAAAATTCTTTGGATTTGAACTCCAAAAGTGGCAACATAACAGGCTTCCTTTTCATGGAATCTGGAATGAAGTATTTCATTTTATTGCTGTCAGCAAGAATAATTGGGCAAGATTTAGTGTAAGTGTAAGTAACAGCCTGTGTTTTGTTCTAGCGACCACTCCGTTGCTGCAGATATTGCAGGGTATTGACGTTGGTCAACAGAGAGTGGGTAAGAACAGGCTGTGTTGACGCCCAGGCATTCCTACTAACACAACCTGTTCCTTCATTGAAGTTCTTACACTTTCTGTTCCTAAAACTAATTGACCGTTTTGCCATGGAGTTTCACCCGTGGGTGTTTTTGTTGTTGTTTGGTGGCATTTCATCTTGTTTCTTGAACACATTCTTTTGAAACGAACATTTCTGCCCCGTCAAAGTAACTGTTAGTTTAGACAGCGTCGCTGCTTGTAGCGCCTGTCCTGGCCAGGCTAGTGTCGTGATAGACTCCGAGGCTGTGACAGCTATGGCTCAGACTAACGAGAAGAACTGATGAAGGTCAGGACACCTGCACTGGATTCAGTGCCAGGAAGTCTGGTTGGATAATTTATGTTTAAGAAACACAAAACCAATGGATGCCATAGAGTTCATAAATATACTTGTATTGTTTCCATGGTTACATTGCCCCAAACCTGTATAGTAACAATGCCTTAGTGATGCCCCAAAAATGTATAATATAAGGATTTGTTAAGTCCATATGATGTCATAACTCTGTATTCTTGCAGTGCCCCAAATCTGTATTGTGATAGTGATGCCCCAAATATGTATAATATAAGGATTTCCCAAGTCCATTTGTCATAAATCTATACTGTTGCAGTGCCCCAAATCTGTAATGTCATAGTGAGGCCCCAAATCTGTAGAATGTAAGGCTCTCCCAAGTCGTGATGTCCTAAATCTATTACAACAACAAATCTGTACTGTCGCTGGGATGCTCCAATCATCAGTGTTTGGCGTTTTTCCTGAAGGATATTCACCGTCCTGGTTCAGTGTTGAACCAGTGAAGCGAGAGTGTCTGATTATCTCCCTTGACTGAATATCGACTTATGCTTGTAGTCACTGACGACGGAATCAAAGGAGGTGTCGTGGCCGACACTGGGCCCCAGACCGGAGGAGGTACTTTATTCAATGCATCGTCCATTCAGCATGTCGCTATTAAACCTCATCCTTTCCCTGCCTCAACGCTCTCACACAACATGTACACCAACGTCAAAGTTGGAGGACGAAAATCTAAACACTCTTTTTTCATCCGAATAGAAATTTCATGAGAGAAAAACCTTTTCAATTTTTATATCACATAATTTATATTTTGACTTGAAAAAATTTGAATTCATTCTTAATGTCTTTTAAAGATAAATTTTCATATTTCAACATTATCTTATTTTGACTTAAATTTTTTAATTTAAAAAAAAAATATATAAAAATATTTTCTTTTAAATATTTAAATTTAAAAAAAATAAATTTATTTTTTTTAAATTACCCGAAAGTGATGACTGTTGAGGCAGAGGAAAAGTTGAGATGAAGATCCGCTCCCATGGTTGTAGAAACAACATGGAGAACTATGTGTTGCTTTACAAGGGCTATTGATGTGTACAATACCAAGACGAAGCACTCGGCCTAGATCTGTTGTACCCAAATGTGCTTTCATTAGATGAATGTTAAATGTTGCTTAGATACAGCCGAAAAACTACAAACTGTTGCAGCTGGAAGACGTGGGGGGGGACTGCCTTGCTCTTCCTATTACCACTGGTTAATTAGGCTCTGTTCTGTGTGAATGATGGTTGTGTATATCACTTTGTTCACTCAATAATCTCTGGCCATCACTGTTCAGATTATTTTGCAGGAATGCTGAATGTGCTTTTAGATTTGTTTGGGAATGGCGGCGTTAGAAATTGGCACTAGTCCTGTAGTCCTTGCCAAACTGGCCCATAGTTAAGGTACCATGAGGACTAGTGGACTAAAAATGTTGGTTTCTACTGCTGAATGGTTAACTGGGTGATGGGTGGTCCCATGGGTCCAGTGCTCACTTGTTATGCTGAAGATCCAGGTTTGAATCCTGATAGTTGTTTGTACCCCTGCTGCGCCATGGCTGTAATATTGCTTAATGCGGCGTCGTACCTCACTCACACACACTGAAGTGAAGACACTTGAAGATGACGCATCTGCTTTGTAGAAGTCCATAGACGTTGTGCTTACGTTGTGTCACTACTGCAAGACGTATATATAATGTCATCATTTCTGGTATCATAGAATCTTAGTGATTTTTCAGGTTCCAGTAATAGAGTAATACAGAAGTTGTATATCCATAGAACTATCTCCCTTGTTCATCATATCACTTCTAAATGCCACTTAAAGGAGTTTTCCTGCAAGGGGCTTTGGTGCGGTTCGGTAGCCTAGTGGTTAAAGCGTTTGCTCGTCACGATTCGCTCGACCTGGGTTCGATTCCCGACATGGGTACAATGTGTGAAGCCCATTTGTGGTACTGCTGGAATATTGCTAAAAGCGGCGTAAAACCAAACTCGCTCACTCACTCAGTAAGAGGCTGTAAGTCCCGAGAGACTGGCTATGTGTTGTCAGAATAATCAACTGCGCTGGTTCCAATGTTGCACTCTCATTTCCTGGGTTTTATTTCCTTGTTTGAGACACGGATCTATGTGGTGTACCGCCTGCATGACTTGCACCCCTTCAACAATCAGATACCATCTGCCGTTGCCTGTACATTGCTTGATCAACTCTGTGTTAAATAGTCAGGAGCCGGCCCTCTGATCCGAGTTCCACTGTCTACCTTCCATGTCCTTCTGTACATGCTGTTATCTCCCCTATTCCAGCTTGCTGTTCGCCAGTTATCTGCCTCTGTGTTGAGATCAACGAAGCTTCAATTTAACTTCTATCTGGATACTTCGTTCCTAGTCCACATTTTAAAGTTTGCTTTTTTCAACCCATTATTGCTATTCAACATGCTACAGTTCATTTATGAAACTTTTTTTTCAACCTTTTTCTGAAGGACCGTTTTATTTATGTTCTTACGCATTAATATGAAATAATGACTTTCAGTAAATGTCATTTGCTCATGACCGATCATTAGAAGAATAATCATTCATGAGAATAATCATGTCGTCTCATTCTTGTGTTTCAGTACTTAGCTTCATTAATTGACACCCCAGCTGACTAAGGTGCCACAATTCTGTGCAGAGTTGCGTCCCTTGGTCATGCCAGGAACCTATGATCGTGGGTTCGAATCCCAGTTCACCCCGATTATGTTTCTAGGTTTGTCAGCACCATACGGGGGCTCTAATGTTTCACCGAAGTGGTAAACGTCTGAGACCTGCATCACTTCGGGCTTCCCTCCCACATTAAGCTGATACGCCGTGATGTAACTGTAATACTGTTCCAAGCGGCGGTAAACCCAACTCACTCATTAACTGACATGCTGTTGTCATCGCAAGTGTTCTCCATACTGTTTATAATTACTGTTCGTCTCACAGTCACGCATGAAGCAGCAAGGTTTGACGATATGATTTGGCCCATTTGTTTTAAGTGTGTTGTGTTCTTGCTAGCCACATCATCAACTATCCAGGCCGTCACTGCGTCCTCAAAAGAAGACTCAGGTAGATTTAACGTACTCTGCATCCATTCCTAGCTTGAAGCTTGTCTTGCTTGCCTGTCTTGGCAGGACCAGTCAGCCTTGAGGCCCTGTCATGCCTGCAGATCAGTTGGGACTGAATCCCTCCCTGATTTTGTATGTCCTTGCAACTCGGAGACCAGCCTGAGTTCTATTCCAACAGCAGGGTTTTAACCTAGAGACGAGCTTTTCCCTCGCCCAATCCTTGTTCTGTGTGGCCCCATGGGTAGCGCGTTAGTTGGTAAAAGTAGAGTGCTGAGTTCTATTCCAACAGCAGGGTTTTTAACATAGAGACAAACTTTTCCCTCGCCCAATCCTTGTTCTGTGTGGCCCCATGGGTAGCGCGTTAGTTGGTAAAAGTAGAGTGCTGAGTTCTATTCCAACAGCAGGGTTTTAACCTAGAGACAAGCTTTTCCCTCGCCCAATCTTTGTTCTGTGTGGCCCCAAGGGTAGCGCGTTAGTTGGTAAAAGTAGTGCTGAGTTCTATTCCAACAGCAGGGTTTTAATCTAGGGACAAGCTTTTCCCTCGCCCAATCCTTATTCTCTGTGATTCCACAGATAATGCGTTAGCTGGTAGGCGTAGACTGCCGAGTTCTATTCCAACAGCAGGGTTTTAATCTAGGGACAAGCTTTTCCCTCGCCCAATCCTTATTCTCTGTGATTCCACAGATAATGCGTTAGCTGGTAGGCGTAGACTGCCGAGTTCTATTCCAACAGCAGGGTTTTAATCTAGAAACAAGCTTTTCCCTCGCCCAATCCTCATTCTGTGATTCCACAGATAATGCGTTAGCTGGTAGGCGTAGACTGCTGAGTTCTATTCCAACAGCAGGGTTTTAACCTAGAAACAAACTTTTCCCTCGCCCAATCCTCATTCTGTGATTTCACAGATAATGCGTTAGCTGGTAGGCGTAGACTGCTGAGTTCTATTCCAACAGCAGGGTTTTAATCTAGGGACAAGCTTTTCCCTCGCCCAATCCTTATTCTCTGTGGCCCCATAGGTAGTGCGTTAGCTGGTAAAAGTAGAGTATCTGCATTTCACCCAGTGACAAGCTCTTCTCCTCCCAAGTCCGCATGTGGCCTCAAAGGCAAGGCGCTAGCTGGTAAAAGTTAAGTCCCCAGTTCTATTCCAACATCTGGGTTTTAACCAAGTGCCAAGTTCTGATCTCAACCAGTCTTTATTATGACGGCATGTAGGTAGGTAGGTGTTAAATTGTTAACAGTGCACGAGATGGTACAGTCCTGAGTTCTATTCCAACGTCAGGATTTCTCTGAGGCAGGAAACTTTCCTATGTGAGCAATCTGACGTTCAAATGCCTCCTCAATACAACCTGTGTGTCACGTTTGACACAAGTGCATTTTGTCCAGGTATGTGAACATTGCATGGATTCCTGATTCATCTCGACTGAATAGTTCACTGTTCCTTGTTCATGACTTCAATGATCTATATTTTGCCTGAACAATTATGCCATAGTGATGATGGTCCCCGACTGATGTGACGAGGGGCATGTGACCCATTGCCAGTGTATCAGGGCCAGGTATCAGAGTTGAGTTGACACTTATAAATAAATAAACTTATAAATACGACAACTATAGTTCAGGCCTACATGTAAGCTACCAAGCAACGTATGCTTGTAGATCGATAAGACAAAATGTTGTGTGCGTGTCAGTGTACCCGAAGATGTGGACTTGCTCAAAATATCAAAGAATGGTTTGTGTGTCCCTGATTTGATTATTGTCATGCTGACTGTGTACAACTTGACTATTTCTGAAAGCAGTGTTAAAAAACAAAACAAACAAGATTTTGTGTGAAAATGAGGTGGGTTCCTCAGGCAACCTGAAGCACTTTAGTGTTGTACCACTGTTGCCCAGCAACCTTAAGCACTTTAGTGTTGTACCACTGTTGCCCAGCAACCTGAAGCACTTTAGTGTTGTACCACTGTTGCCAAGCAACCTGAAGCACTTTAGTGTTGTACCACTGTTGCCAAGCGACCTGAAGCACTTTAGTGTTGTACCACTGTTGCCCAGCAACCTAAAGCACTTTAGTGTTGTACCACTGTTGCCCAGCAACCTGAAGCACTTTAGTGTTGTACCACTGTTGTCCAGCAACCTGAAGCACTTTAGTGTTGTACCACTGTTGCCCAGCAACCTGAAGCACTTTAGTGTTGTACCACTGTTGCCCAGCAACCTGAAGCACTTTAGTGTTGTACCACTGTTGCCCAGCAACCTGAAGCACTTTAGTGTTGTACCACTGTTTCCCAGCAACCTGAAGCACTTTAGTGTTGTACCACTGTTGCCCAGCAACCTGAAGCACTGGTGCAAGAATGGTTCGTACAACTCTTCACCTAGCACAGGCCAGTGTTGCTAGTTCCTGACCATCCGTGCAATCTATAAAGCTGGTCAGTGCCTTCTGTGTCACCGCTGTGCTGAACATCGGTGGCGGCGGCGGGGGTGGCGGTGGTGGCGGTGGTGGCGTCTCTGGCTTGTCCCAGAGATGGAACTTGAGATGATGTTGTTAGCCCTTGCCTTGAAGGAGGACATCTGTAGTTGGTAGATTTCACCATTTCTTCTGAGCTTGTCTGCTGTCATGACTTGATGCGCAAGAAGTAGTATTGTAAAGGGAGATTTTATGCTGCTGCATATATAGGCTGATATCTGATTCTGAAAGAAGCAGAGCTTGGTTTGGATATTGCTTATGGGTCATGTAGTTTTAAATAATTGGCCTGGCTAAAGAAATGTTTTGGGTCAGAAGATGCATGTTGGTGGAAGGCTATTTAGTATTGGCTCCATTTCATTTTGAAATCCTCAGGTCAGGGGATTTATCAGGTGGTAGAGGAATGCATCACTTTGGTCTTTACAATGTTCAACTGATATTACTGAAATACTGTGGGAGCCCTGAAGAACTGGGGTAGAATAGGTCTTCAGCAACCCATGATTGTCGTAAGAGGCATCGGGTGGTTGATGCATGTCATCGTATCCCATTTATTGTATGGATGCTCATGTTATCAATCACTGGATTGTCAGGTACAGACTCGATTATTTACAGACCGCCGTCATATAGCTGGAATATTGCTGTGTGCGGCGTTAAACAACAAACAAACAAACAAACACTGGAACACGAGTGACTGAAGCTTTCTGTCCTGACCATGAGGGCTGTATTTAGTTAGGTCATCAGCTGTCAAATTTCCGGAATGTTGTTAGATTTTACACCACTTCTATCTCACACCTCTAGGCCTAATAGAACTTTCTGCCTTTTGGATATGTGTTTGTAATGACCTTGAGATATACATTGGTGACCTTGTTTGAATTTCTGTGGTTTCTTGCGATGTGAAACCGTTTCTTTTGTTGACTATCATGTGATTTGTAGACAATGATGAATAGTGTTGCAACTATGAACTGCGATAGCTTCTCTGTTGGAATGTTTTTGATTTTGTCGCTGTGATCTGACCACTTCTGAGTATGCATGTCGATATGTGGGTGTACACGTGGTCATAATGTTCAGGTGGCTGATTGTCATCAGCAGATGCCGGATAGGGTACACAGACAAGAGCAGATAGCGGGGTTCATTCAGGCTTTTAAGGTCACTCGACCCGTGAAGATCCAGGGTAGAAACGGGCTTCAGCAACCCATGCTTGCCGTAAAAGGTGTCTATGCTTGTCGTAAGAGGCGACTTAAGGGATCGGGTGGTCAGGTTTGCTGACTTTGTTGAAGCATGTCATCGATCCCAATTGCGTAGATAGGTGTTCATGATGTCAATCACTGGATTGTCTGGTCCAGACTCGATTATTTACAGACCGCCGTCATATAGCTGGAAAAGTGCTGAGTGCGGTGTAAAACAACAAACAAACAACTTAAGGTCACCCTCCGTTGTACGGAATGTCAAATGTAATGGGGTTTGACGTGGCAGTCAAGATTATTCCACTTATATATCAGTGACATATTCTTGTTGATAAAAGTATTATAACACATACAAATATGTTCTGAGGATGTTTAAGTGTGATTTCCCAGTGATAGATCTTTGTGTCGAAGACCATGAAGACGGACTTTTGTTGGTTGTGAAAATAACTCTTGTTGGAAAATTTGTAATGGTCATACTGCTTTTTAGGTCTCACGACTAATGTGTAGTATGCTAAATTTATTCAAATATTGACGGACTAAGGATAAAAACCAAGACCAGACACCAGGCTACACACACAGGACCAGACACCAGGCTACACACACAGGACCAGACACCAGGCTACACACACAGTACCAGACACCAGGCTACACACACAGGACCATACACCAGGCTACACACACAGGACCAGACACCAGGCTACACACACAGGACCAGACACCAGGCTACACACACAGGACCAGACACCAGGCTACACACACAGGACCAGACACCAGGCTACACACACGGGACCAGACACCAGGCTACACACACAGGACCAGACACCAGGCTACACACACACAGGACCAGACACCAGGCTACACACACAGGACCAGACACAGACACCAGGCTACACACACAGGACCAGACACCAGGCTACACACACAGGACCAGACACCAGGCTACACACACAGGACCAGACACCAGGCTACACACACAGGACCAGACACCAGGCTACACACACAGGACCAGACACCAGGCTACACACACGGGACCAGACACCAGGCTACACACACAGGACCAGACACCAGGCTACACACACAGGACCAGACACCAGGCTACACACACCAGGCTACACACACAGGACCAGACACCAGGCTACACACACAGGACCAGACACCAGGCTACACACACAGGACCAGACACCAGGCTACACACACAGGACCAGACACCAGGCTACACACACAGGACCAGACACCAGGCTACACACACAGGACCAGACACCAGGCTACACACACAGGACCAGACACAGACACCAGGCTACACACACAGGACCAGACACCAGGCTACACACACAGGACCAGACACCAGGCTACACACACAGGACCAGACAC